GCCACTGCAGCCTCGCCCTGCTGGGCTCCGGCAATCCTTCTGCCTCAGCCTTCCAAGTAGCCAGAACTACAGGTGTGTGCTACCACACCTGGCTATTTTTTTATTTATTGTAGAGACAAGGTCCTGCCAAGTTGCCCAGGTGGGTCTCGAACCCATGGGCTCAGGCAATCCACTTGCCTCAGCTTCCCAAAGTGTTGGGATGACAGGCTGAGCCAAGGAGCCCGGCCAATCCCTTAAAGATTACTTTTGGGTTCAGGTAGGCCATACTCAGTAACCTGGGGAACAGTTTGCATCAAATTTGGCTAACACCCACTGATTCTATTTCATTGTGAATGTTAAAATCCCAGCTGCCATGAAAATGTAACACGTGTGTATAGTATAAAATGAGGAATTGAATGCAGGCTTGAAAGGGGAAGACATCCCATGGCTTTCTTTATGGCTCATGTATCTATTGAAGAGTTTTTATTTTAATTCCCTATGACCTGGTTGATTTCCTACTGACTTTAGCATCCAGGCTAAGGAGAATGGATTGCCTGAGCCCACGAGTTTGAGACCAGTCCAGGCACTTGGCGAGACCTCGTCTCTACAATAAATAAAAAATTACCTGGGCGTGTTAGCGCACACCTGTAGTTCCACCTACTTGGAAGGCTGAGGTGGAAGGATCGCCGGAGCCCAGCAGGTCGATGCTGGAATGGCTGTGAGTGTGCCACGGCACTCCAGCCTGGGCGACAGAGTAAGACTCCAACTGAAAAAAATAAAATAAATAAAACATTCAGGTTCTGCCCCTTGCTTAATGCCAGGGCCTCTTCCTCCACAGACCAGGGCTGCACTGGTCACTGGGAGAGCCCAGGGTGTCAGGATTCCAGAAGTCCTCTTGTCCTGTCAGCCATCTGGAGGCCAGAGCAACGCTGGCCCTTCTGCTGATGGTAGTGTTTCTTCTGGGGATGTTCAAGAAAGAGGAGTCACTAGTTCCCACCTATTGTTTCCTCTCAGGAGTAAAGGTGATGTTCTAAGAAGCCGTACCCAGTCTTTGCATCCCTAATTGTATGTAGCTTCTCTGAGTGAGTCTCAAGAAAGGCCGCCAATGTACACATGTGCATGCACACACACAGGGTACTCTTTGTCCTACAATTCCGCTCACTCCTAGGGACATATCTTAGAGAAACTTCCACAAGTGTACAGGAATGCCCACAGCAGCATTTCCCATAAGAGTTAAAAAAAAAAAAAAAAAGAAAAGAAAGGGAGGAAGGGAAGGAGAGAAGATGAAGGAGGGAAAGAAGGGAGAAGCGAGGGAGGAGAGGATGAATCTAAATGCACATCAACCAGACGGGGATTGTGGTATGCCCATACAATGGAACATTATACAGCAGTAAGAAAGAAACTAGAGCTACGTATGTCTGCACAGGTGAAGCCCAAAATTTTAATGTCGAGCAAAAAGTATCACGGTACAATTTAAATAAAGTCTCTATAGTGCTCAGGGTTTGCATATACATGTAGTATGAGGGCATGCTTGAGATGAAAAACTCCCAAATTCATGGTCATGGTTTTCTGAGTAGAAGACACTAAGGAGACTGCAACTATAATTTCAAGTTTTCTTCAACGTGACAGTGGTTCATGAGTGCTCATCAGATTATTTTTCCAGCATTTTGTGCGTCTAAAACATGAAGTAAAAGGAAAAGTGAAGACACCAGGCAGAACTCTTTGGAAATGCTTTATTTACCACTGCAAGGTTTTTGTCCAAAGTGTGACACCAGACATACGACTACAAAGTCTCATGCGTCTTTTTGTGCGTCAGCTCACGACTGCAAAACACACACTTAGCATCTGACAACAGGAAACACAGAAGGCAGAAAAGGATTACAAGGACTAGCTGATTGAGGCCACAGCCACACTGCACGCAGGCCTCCTGACACCCAAGAGGGTCTGGCACTGAAGGGCCACCTCCTTGCAAGCTTTCCCTGCCCAGCTTTGCTCTGGGTGAACTGTCACTCAACCCACAGGAAAAATCACATCTCAAAGAAAATGGACAGATGCAGGCTGGGCCTTGATCAGTGGCACTCAACAAATAGATATTGATCTAATGCGAGAGGTGGAGTGGCCGGTGAGTGTGGGTGGACTCCTGACATTCCATCTCCACGGACATGTCTTCTGAAAGATCCGGATCATCTCTTGGGCAACGGCCTCCTCTGAAAGGGTCTCTCACTTGACCTTCACCCCTGCCTCACATCCTTCTACAAAACACTCCCTGGCACAGGACAAGGTGTTCCTTTAAAAGTGATCAGATGTTTGCACACAGATTCCATCACCGCTCCAACTCCATAGTGACCTACAAATGTATCTGTTTCCAGGTGAGCTGACGCCAAGGTTATGGAAGTATTTTGATTTGGCAGTCTGACATCTCTGGGAAACTGAAGACTCACTGAGCTGGAATTTGGGTGGAAAAGCATAGCCAATCTATTCTCTTCTTTGGTTCATTTCCACGGAGAGCTATGAATTGTCACTAGGCAAACAGTAATACTCAATGTCATAAATGTCTAGGTCAGCTGCTGAGATGTCTGGTACTTTTACCATTGACAACTCAGCTAGGACTCGAATGTTTATGCCATTCTGCAGTGTCATTTTCTGTCTACCCACCCCCTTATTCAGCCTTAGTTCATTAATTTATTCAACAAATATTTGTGGCACACTCATGAGACAATTTTATCCTAGATACTTAAAATACACCAGTGAACATAACAGACAATTCCCCCATTGAAACCCGCCTCATTCCTGTACATCCATGCTAAGGGAGGTTGTGGCTAACACCTAAGATGCTCTTCAGTGGAGTTTGGTTCCCATGAGGGGCAACCTTTAGTTTGAATTCTGGAAGGCTAAAACTTCGCGATTAAAAAAAAAAAGGGCCAGGCTTGGAAGGCTGAGGCAGAAGGATCGCAGGAGCCCAGCAGGTCGATGCTTGGGTGGTCATGAGTGTGCCACCGCACTCCAGCCTGGGCGACGGAGTGAGACTACCACTCAAAAAAAAAGAAAAAGAAAAAAAGGATGCTTCATGATGGAATGACTATGGGTGGAATTGATCTTTTGGGATCAGGGCCCTGCCCAGTCACCTCAGATTCCTTTGTTGGGACCATAAGGCAGGTGCCCAGGGTTGTAAGGAAGCAGAACCACGTTTCCTGATTGTCAATCTAGAATTCAACATTTTCTAGGTTGAAGTAGCAGTTGTTATCAAGAAGAGAATGTGGGTCAGCTTCCATAGGAGACATTTTGTCTTCTTTTAGCCATGCCAACCGAAAAGAAGTGACTATGTGGTGAGGGGATCTCAAAAGCACATGACAGAAAGCTGCTTAGAAGTGCTTTGCCTAAAAAACACTTGGTAGGAGCTGGCCAACCTTCATGGTCAAGGTTTCCAGTGATCTGACTTTCCCAAGAAAGAGGGGTTCGATTCTTTTTCTGTTTCTTTGGAGAATGGGTAGACGTTATTTCTAATGTTTTTCTATGTCTGTACAGGAAGGAAAAATAATGACCAGAGGTTATGAGGTCCTTGGTCAGCTTCTCAGGGGGAGGCCAAGTATGAACTGACTTGTTGAAGGAATGAAATCCTTACCCATCTTGCCTGGGAATTCTGTCTTAGCTTAGGGAACCAGGTTGACATCTGAAGGTCCAGAGTTTGGCTGTTAGCATACAGGAGTCCAAATGCAGAATCTATGATTCTGGAAATGCCTGGAGTGGTTCTGGAACTTTCTGGACATTCTCAGCTGCCAATTTGAAGTAAAAAATATAACCCTGCTTAAAGAGAATCTGCCGGTAGACTCTGAGTTTGTGTTTAGCCAGGGAGTGCCTACAGGACTGGAACACCATTTCATCTATCGCATCATTCACAGGGATAGGCCTGTCCTGGGACCCGTTTCACAGGTGGCCAAACTGAGGTTCTGAAGGACAAGAGCAATCGAACCCAGAACCAGAACTGGCCCAAAGGTGAGTGTTACATCCCCTCATCAAGGCTCAAAATTTAGATTTAATGAAGTGGGGACACCTATTTGGAAATACAAGGCAGGAATGCAAAACCCAGCTGTGGCCATTATTTACTGATGAGAGCGAGAGGTCCTGAAAATCGAGGGAAGGAGGTGCATGTGCCAAAGGTCTCATTTTCTTCTTGAAGTCACTGCTGGTCTCCACCTCCACGTAGCCGGATGTAATAGACTAAGTTGGTAACTAGATCCCTCCTGAAGTGACTGGAATGCCGAAAAGAGGGGTCTATCTCAGAGGGCCACTTTGGTGGTGCTGGTGGACGTGACAGCAAGCACTCGGAATCCGCCCACGAGTCACAGGTATCCTCGTATGCTTTGTCAGGGATGATATAAACTGATTTTAAGAGAAAACTTACAGAGTTGGCCAGGCTCGGTGGCTCAGCCTGTCATCCCAGCGCTTTGGGAGGCCGAGGCGAGTGGATTGCCTGAGCCTGCAGGTTTGAGACCAACTGGGGCAACTTGGTGAGACCTTGTCTCTACGAAAAATTAAAAAAATTAGCTGGGTGTGGTAGCGCATGCCTGTAGTTCTGGTTACTTGGAAAGCTGCGGGGGGAAGGATCACCGGAGCCCAGCAGGTAGATGCTGGGGTGGCCGTGAGCATGCCGCCACTGCACTCCAGCCTGGGTGACTGAGACTCTGACTCAAAAAAAAAATAATAATAAATAAAGTTCTTCAATAAAAAGCCCCAAATTCAGTCCAAGAACAGGATCTGAAAGCGCAAATTAAAATATTAAGAATTAACATAATTAGGTCAGGTGCTGTGGCTCATGCCTGTAATCTCAGCACTTGGAGGCCAAAGTAGGAGGATTGCTTGAACCCAAAAGTTTGAGACCAGCCTGGGCAACATAGCAAGACCCTGTCTCTACAAATAATAGAAAAATTAACCAGGTGTGGTGGTGTGCGACTGTAGTCCCAGCTACACAGGAGGCTAAGGCAAGAAGATTGCCTGAGCCCAGGAGGCCAAGCCTGTGGTGAGCCATGATCATGCCACTGTGCCCTAGCCTGGGCAACAGAGTGAGACCCTGATTCAAAAAAAAAAGAACTAACATAGTTAATAATAGAGGCTACAGATTCCACACTGGTGGTTGAGGTATCCAGCACTGAGACTGACTGATCCCGGATCTCTGGTGTTGAGACTCCATCGAGGACTGTGGCCGAAAACCTGTCTGGAATGTTGTGGAAGGAGTTTCTCTAAGTGCAGTGCTCTGACCTCGATGTGAGCACCCCCCAGTGCTTGTTCAAAATGAAGGCTCCTGGGCTTCGACCAGAAGCGCTGACTTGGAGGGTCTTCAGGTGGGCCTGGGACCCTGCTGGTGACTCTTGACATGCTAAAGTCTGAGACCTGCTGTGACCGCCTCGCATGGGGAGCATGACTTACCTCCTGGCTGAGCTTTCATTCCACCCAGACCATCTCTAATTCTAGGAGTTGGGCTGGGATACTTTGATCTCGTTCAGCCTTTTCGGAATGCTTATTTTTAAAAAGCCGAATTCTTCTTTGAGTCCGTTATTTCCCAGATTAAGCTGTCTCTGCATCCGGCCTAACCCCACCTGCAAGATGGGCGCATGAGTTGTGTTGGATGAATGCGTCTCTTTCAAGAACACAGAGGAGCAAAATGCAACCACCCCGCCCTGCCTTGCTGATGCCCTAGAAGCGGGAGTGTGGTGAGAGAGGTGCAGGGTCCCGGCCTTTGCAGGCGTGTTGAGGATGGGGCACGGAGAGGAGGCTGCAGAGGACGGCCCGGCTGCCCTGGAGGGAGGCGGTGGGCCATTACAGCTGCAGCTGGTGCCACATGGCGATCTGGCGCCGCGGGTTCTTCAGCATCTCCTCCCAGTGGCTGCGCGCAGAGCCCGAGGCGTGCAGGCCCAGGCTGCAGTGGCCCAGCGTGCAGCTCTGCCCCACCTCGTCCTGGCCCAGCACCTCCAGCTCCACGCTGGAGGCCCGCAGCAGGTCGTCGGGCAGCTCGAACATGATCATCTCGTTCCACACCGGGTTGATCTTGTGCTTGGCCCGTTTTGTCTGCTTCTTCTTCAGCTTCCGAGCCTGGTGCTTCAAGGTCACCTTGACAGAGACATCTGGGAGGAGGAGCAGGACAGAGAGAAGGGCTGAGGGTGAGCTTCTGGGATCTGGCAGGGCCCAGGACGATGTTCCCTCCAGGGGTTGGCGAGACTGTGTCTGGCTCAAGACTTGCACTGAGAATCTCTTTGCCCCTCCACTACGCATCCATCCAATAATTACTCAGGGCCCGCCCTACGGCAGGCGCTGGTCTAGACGTGGGGACTGGCAAAAGTCCCAGCCTCTCCAGATCTCCCGCTCTGGCATGGGGAACGGACAATGCCATGATATGAGGCTGGTCACCAGGGAGCCCGTGATGGGGACATGCTAGTGTGTCACCACCAGGGCCTCACCCTTCGGCGGGAGCCCTTCCTCGCGATCTCATATCCCCACATCAAACCAGGTCTAGGACAACAGCTCAGGGGTCTTGCAGCTGGCTTGAAAACTCAGACCAGACACACGAAGCCGGGCCCCAGGTCTTCATGCCACTGACTCTCAGGCCAAGCATTTGTTCATGTTAATGAAATGCCAGGTCCCCGGGTGGGTGGTTGAGTTCTCATCTGTTCTTGGAGGACCCTGGCCTCCTCTCTGGGGGAGGGGAAGGCAGACTGCCTGTCTTTGAGCCCTCATTCCCCCAGGGCATGGCTCCAGCTGAGTCCCATCCCTCCCCCTTCCCCACTCCCCAAACCCACAAACAACAAAGTCACCAGAGGGGGCTTCATGTCCCATCGCAAGGCTCAGACTGGAGTACCTAGCCAAGGTTCCTGAAGCTGATGCTGCCAGAGTAACGGTTACTTTGTATTTATTGCTGTCACTATGGGGGAGTGAGTTTGTTATTTCAGCAGAGATATTTGAGAGGCAAAGTGTTGTTCTGTAACTGTCCTATAAAAAGAGGGAGAGCGGCAAAGACTTGCCTGGAGGGAATGAGGAAAGAGCAGTGGGCTCTGACCTTTGGTTCGGGAATCTGCCAGAGAGATCAACTCTTCTGATTCTGTTAGCCCAGCATCCTTTGCTCAAAATTCTGAATGCAGTGACAATTCCTTATTTATCCCCAGCTATAAATAGAGTTTTATTTATATCCTGCCAGGAGCACATGGCTCACAGTCCAGGTATTAGCCCAGCCAGCTGAGGATGCTTTCCTGCTCTGACAGGAGTGCCTGCTTTGGTCCCCAAGACTTGGGAACCTATTCTGGGGGGACCCAGAAGGAAAAAACAAAGGCCTCCAGGGTACTGAAGAGACACTGCTTTGGGTATGTGGGGCACAGATGCCCAGAGCTTTAGGCCTCGGCCCACGCACCCACATACCTTCTGTCGTCACCCAGACGCAGGTGGTGAGGGGGTAGCTGTTGGCAACGGCTGGGAAGGGAGAAGAGACTGGGGTGGGTGTGGGGGGTGGCTAGCTGAGATGGGAGGAGGACCAGGGCTTTCTGACACCTGCCTAGAGGCGGGGCCAGCCTGACGTGGATGACACAGGCTGGGCCAACTTTTCCCAGCAGCCAGGCGCTCCTCCCCGCCCCCCACCAACAACTCTAGTCTGACCCTTGGTTTCCTGAGGTCCACGGTTGAGGCTAATTATCTCCTAGCGGATCTCGGAGACAGAGAGCCCAGGTTGCTCTTACCTGGGCCCTGGTGGGTGAGATCGACCCAGGAGTGGAAGGGGGTAAACTCAAAGAGGTGAGCATGTCCTTTAGAACTGGCTTGTGAGTTCAGGTGGGGGATACAGTTGAGGATGACTCCACAAACCTGCTTGTGTTCTGCCTCTCTCCTCACCTGTCCCATCCCTCCCGGATGCCACCTCCCTCCCGCACACCTCACTCACCCTTCCCAAGGAGCTCCTTGGACTGGCTGGAGTGGAGGTTCTTGGCTTTAATCAGCACCACCAGGAGACGGTTGGCAGCCGGGAGGTAGCTGATGGAGAGAAGGACCTCTCCGGCACCTGCAGATGGCTCCTGAAACAGAAGGGGAGACGTGGAGGGGAGTCTCACTGGGGGGCCTCTGACCCAACACCAAGCACTGAGGCTGGGGGCGCACCGGCCTTGCATCCAGCAGGCATTGAGCGACCATTACCCATTGGTGCTGGCTTCTCACCCTCGCAGAAGTCAGACACAGAGGAGTCATGGGTGGTGTGTGTTCCAGCAGGCATCTGTTCTGTTGGCCATGTGATTTTCCATGTATCATCCACTCAAACCCAACACGGAAAACAGAGCAAAGAGACATCACTTGCGATGTGGCAGGGTCCCCTCACCCTCCACCCACCCCCAAGCTCCTGGGGCGCCTCTATGGAACTCTAGGGCTGAGAAGAAGGCAGCTTGAGAATCCCTGATGGACCCTTCTGGCTCCCGGGGCAGCGTAACTCATTGCTTTGTGTGAAAAAAGAATTCCTTCCAGTCCTGGTGGAGAGTGAACAGAGGGACATTAGGGTGCTGGGCAGGGACGTGTCCTTTAACAGAGAAGTCAGCAGCGTCAACAAAACCCTGGGCATCAAGGTCATGTGTCAGAGGCAACTGTAAGAACTGCACTTGGGAGGATGTGCTGATGTCGCCACGAAGTATCCAGTGGTGCCCATGCCCCAAGTGCATGACTTTCCACCAAAATCCCCACAAAAGTCTGTTTGGAATTTCAGCAAGCCCATTATTAAGGGTCAGCAAGGACCAAAGACTCCCCCCAGGAGGTGGTATTTAGTGGCAATCCAAGCTCTGGGGACACCTGGGAGAGAAGAAAAGGGGAGTGTGTGGCCGGGGTCAGCCGAGGGCAGGACGTCGCTTCCTCAGAGCAGAACACAGACACCCTTCCCAGGATTCCTGGGGGAGGCAGGTGGTGTGGCCATTGCACCAAGACAGGAGTGGGCGGAGGGCGCCTGGGAGCTTGTCCCATCAGATGTTGCGACTCTCGATCCGTGCGCCCCCCTTCGGCTCTGTTCTTTTCTTCCAGCTATGCAGGGAGAGTAACTCAGGAAGGTGTCCCAGGGTCCAGGCTGGGCCCTGGCACATGGCCACCATAGCCCCCCATGCTCCTCCCCCTCCTGTCACACTCAGACACGCAGTGACGTCTGTCCATCCACCCCGTGTGGTGCACTCAGAAGGGCAGGAATCCATTTTCTTTTGCTTGCGTGGCCTCCATGGGTTTGCTCACCTGGCGAGCATACATAAAGCACTAGACGTGCTCCAGACGCAGTGGCCAAAGCCACGAACAAAACCCGTCAGCCCACACCGAAGGTGATTAGATATAAAACATCTGGCAGCGTTAGTGTTGTGAAGGAATATATGTATCAGGGGAAGAAGTTGGAACATGCATGTAGGACGTTCTCGGTAAAAGTCGTAAACTCTAATGCTAATGACAACTGTCAAAACAACAATGATTAATAACCCAGGGTGGGGCAACCCCTTTGGGTCCCCTCCTGCTGTGGGAGCTTTTCCTTCCACTCAATGAATCCTGCTTTCTCAAAAAAATAAAAAATAACCCAGGGCAAGGGTGGTGCTGAAAGCATTAACTGGGTCTGAATTCCAATCCTAACACTAGCAGTGTGGCCTCGAGTAAGTCACACTTTCCTGAGCTCTATTTCCTGATTAACCCAAGGATTTAACTAGCCACAAGTGACTAGTCACTTGATGAAACAATTTGGGAGTCTCAAGGAACCTTGGTGATGACCTGAATGATAGCAGCTAATGTTTATTAAGCCCCTGCTGTGTGCTAGATGCAACCCTGGTGTCTACCCCTAGACCGCCAGTCCACACGGCCTCTGCTCACTGCATCCCCGATGCCTGGCACACAGTGGCACACAACAGGTACTTGGGGGTGAGATGTTCTTTTTAATCTTTTTTTTTTGAGTTGGAGTCTCACCCTATCACCCAGACTGGAGTGCAGTGGCACGCTCCCGGCCACTGAAAGCCTTTACCTGTCGGGCTCAGGCGATCCTTCCGCCTCAGCCTTCCAAGTTGCCAGAACTACAGGCATGTGCGATCACACCTAGCTGACGTTTTGATTTATTGTAGAGACGAGGTCTCACCATGTTGCCCTGGCTGGTCTCGAACCCATACGCCCAGGCAGTCCTCTCACCTCAGCCTCCCAAAGTGCTGGGATTATAGGCCTGAGTCACCGTGCCTGGCCTTTTTAATCTTGACAAAAATCCCGAGGGAGATGCTGGCCTTGTTTCCATATTAGATGTGAGAACCCAGGGCTCAGAGAGGATGCATTGCTGCCAGAGGTCATGCGGACAGCAGGCAGCAGAGCTCAGCACCGTGGTCAGAGGTCTGGTCTGAGAGCGAAGGCCATGGCCCAAGTCCGGGCGGGCTCTGCGGCCTCCTCGGTGGGCTGTCCTCCCAGTCTCTCATTCCACAGACGATCCTGAGCCCAGGGCCTTGTGTCAGGCACCCATCAGGTGTCAGCAGAGCCGGGATGGGCCCCAGCCTCCTGATTCAAGACCACTGATCGGAGGGCTGCAGTCCCAGGGAGACCAGGCTCGAGCCCACTGCTCCCCCAGGGCAGGTGGGAGGAGACCGCACCTGTCAGAAGACAGGTAGAAGGACTCAGGTGAAGTCCTGAACATAGCAACTGACATATGGTGAGTGTTCAAAAATAGTGCCCCTGTCCAGCATGGTGGCTCACACCTGTACTCTCAGCACTTTGGGAGGCCGAGGCAGGAGCACTGCTTGAGGACAGGAGTTTGAGACCGACCTGGGCAACACAGCAAGACCCCATCTCTACAAAACACAGTGTTAAAAGTGCCTTCTTTGTGTTGAGGAAGGCCCCGACTAGTCCAGCTGGCTGCACCATATCCAGGCACCCTCTGGCCTGGCCCGGGCTCTCTCCTGCCCCCATACACCTAGTGTCACCTCCTACTTGTGACTCCACGCCACCCTCTGAGGGTGTTCATGTTTGCGGTAGACAGGCTGGCGATCGGATGTGAGTGCATATTTGCAAAGCAGCGACAATTGCCGCTAGTGTGAGGACGATTAGGATGGGTGGTCAGTGAGGGCAGAACTTCATCAGAGTTAGTCTTGCTGTGTCCTCCCAGCACGGTGCCCTGCACGTGGCGGGAACTGGGTGAGGTATTTGGGGAATGAATGAATGAATGAATGAATGAATGATGGCTGCTCCTCCACAGGGTTAGATGTCTGAGACTCCTGTCTGATGGGCTGAGTTTCAGCCCGAGGGGAGCCCTGCCTCTCCAGAGAAAGCCCATTTACCAGCTTAATAAACCCAAGTGTCAGTTGCCTCCCCAGGGGCCCTTCCACGGTTCCACGCCAGTCCCAAATTGCAAGCTCATTAGAGGGTGGGCTTTGAAACATTGCATGTCCTCTGAGAGGGGGTGTAAATTTTTCTGCCCATTTTCCAAGCCTGGGAAAGAGAAGCGGGCAAGGAGAACATTGCAGCAGAAAGAGGGGTGGGGATGGGAAGGTGAGCTCCTCTGCAGTCAGGGTGTCTATCAGGAAAGCCCCCATCGGACACGCCTCGAGCTTGTTCAGTGCTTGTGCAGCTTGGTGATAAGGCGACAGTACTGGGCTTAGAGTCAGACCGACCTGGCCTCGAGGGCTCCTGTGACCTGGCTGGGTGACTCCAGGTGGGCTCCTGAGTTACTGTAAGCGCCAGCGTCCGCGTCTGTAAATGGAATCGTCAGGGCGTCTCTCTCACCTTGTTGATTTGGGAAGTGGAAGGATTCAAGTAAAGTCCTCAACATAGCAACTGACATATGGTGAGTATTCAAAAATAGTGCCCGTGTCCAGTGTGGTGGCTCACACTTGTAATCTCAGCACTTTGGCAGGCCGAGGCAGGAGCATTGCTTGGGGCCAGGAGATTGAGACCAACCTGGACAGCATAGCAAGACCCCATCGCCACAAAAAATAGTGTAAAAGGCTCCGTTATTAATATTTTTTTAACTCTGGCATGAGGGCTGGCAGGCTTTCTCTGAAAAGGACCAGGTAGTACATATGTCGGGCTAGACAGGTTATACAGTCTTTGGATAAGCTTAGCACCGCCCAGTTGGTTGGGAGATGCACCATCCAGAAGGTTCCCTCAATGTGGTCCATGGATGAGGCTTTGAACCCAGGGCCCAAATAACTACATGCCAACCAGCAACCCAGGCCCTCTCCCTGTCCTGTGAGAACAATAGCTTGTTCAACGAGAAGTCCCGCTCTGAGGACTGCGTCGTCTCAGTAGACTCTGCTTTCCCACCCATGTCTTCCCAGCAGCAGACAAGTAGCTACATCACCCTGGGACTAGGACGGCACAGACCTCTGAGCTCTGAGCCTGCCCCAGTCCCGGTCACTCTTCAGAGCCCAGCGCAAACACCACCGCACTCTCCATCTGAAGATCTCAGTTAGGCCCGTCTTGGCTGTCTCAGGATTCGACACATGTCAGACAACATTATCGTCACTGCTGCTGTCATGGCCATCATCGTCGGTCCGTGCCCATGTGTCCCTGTAGTCTGTGAGCGGCGAGGCCCCGCCCTTCCTCTGACTGCGTGCAGTGCCCGGCGCATGGTAGGAGCACAGGAAGTATGAATGGGGATGGCACCGTTATGGCACCCCGCATGGAATCTGCCATGAGACGAGGGGGCCTGAGTGGCAAGTTAGAAGCAAGATTAGGAGCAGACACCAGGAATCCCAAATCCCGGGCAATGGGTCTGCTCCAGCGTTTGCCCTGTCCAAGGCCCCAGCCTCCCTTCACCCCAAGCTGGGGAGGACTCCAAGGCTCGTTCCACCAGCGCCGGCCAGTTCTGCCGTCCCGCGCTCCACCCACAGATTTGCCCTTTCTGGCCGAGTGGCAGCCCTACCTTCGGCGAAGTCTTCAGCTCGCCCCACTGGGCAGCGCCCAAAGGCACAGACACCCCGTCCAGGCCCAGGCGGAGCTCCCCGGCCACACTGTGGCGGGAGAAGCGGTCGCAGGTCCTCAGGGTCAGCGTCAGGGTGGCCGTGGGGAGCTCTTCCTCTGCCAGGGGGAGTGCCAGGCCCTCCTCCCAGGCGGTGTGCAGCTGCCGCTTCTTCAGGACCGTCTGAGCCTCCACGCAGCCAGTCCTGCTGGCCACACTGCCCTGGACGTAGCAGTCACAGCCTCCGTCGTGGTCGCTGGTCACGGCTGCAGGAAAGGGAAAAGCAACACAGACGTGGGCCTTCCCGGGGACCAGGGGAGGGCGGGAACATGCCCCGCGGGAGCTGTGGAATTCACTGGATGGTCATGACTGTGGGAGTCTGGAAAACCCCCTGCTGACCACCAGGGCTCTGTGGACTCGCCTCTTAGCAAGACATTTAGAAGCAGGAGGTCAGCTGAGGGGACCTGGGTCAGCATAGGCTGGTCTTTCTTGGAGAACAGGGATGAGACTTGGTGCTTCCTGGAGTCCTCCCAACTCACGAGGCTGAGATTTCCCCAAGGGGCCGGGCCCACTACTCCCACTTGTATTGGTGTTGCTGCTGATACTGTGATTCGTTTGTTCTGGGCTTTAAACATTTACCACACAGCCGTTTGTGAAGCAAATCACTTGGCTGCTACCCCATGAATGTTGTTTCCCATTCTGAACCTTAGGGTTTCAAATGCTTCCCAACGGGGATTCACCCAGACCCTTTGCAGCTGTGCCACTTCTGTGACGGACTCCCTGATGATGTGGGAGGGAAAGGCTGACATATCACAGGAACTGAAGATTGAAGAACTGAGGCCGTGTGTTCTAATAGCAACAGCTTTTCACGGAGCTTCCAGGGATTGTTCGGTCCTGGCTCTGTCACCAGTTAGATGGAGCGATTTTCGCAAGTCAGGTGAGTCGCTAGAGTTCAAAAATGGAACTATTGTGAAGACCGAACGCAGTAATGTATATGAAAGTGCTTAAAAGTCTTCAGAGAGGCCGGGCTCGGTGGCTCAGCCTTTGGGAGGCTGAGGCGAGTGGATTGCCTGAGCCTGCAGGTTCGAGATCAGCCCAGGCACCTTGGCAAGACCTCGTCTTTACAATAAACCAAAAATTAGCCGGGTGTGGTAGTGCGTACCCGTCGTTCCGGCTACTCAGAAGGCTGAGGTAGAAGGATCGCAGAGCCCAGCAGGTTGACGCTGGGGTGGCCGTGAGCACGTGTGCCACTGCACTCCAGCCTGGGAGATGAAGTAAGACTCCAACTCAAAAAAAAAAAAAAAAATCTTCAAAGAAATAATGTAAGATTGGCCAGATAGAAAAAAAAAAATCTTCAAAGACAACAAAAAGGAAAAAATATTCACTCAAAACAAAATTAAATACAAAATTCCTATTTACCTGGCCCCAGGGCTAGCCCTGAATCCTTTGCAAAGTCCTAATTTTGTTTGCTGACCACCATCAAGTGACTTGTCAGGGTGGGGAGACTGAGGACATCCTGGTCCCCTCAGAGAGACAGCCGGGTTCTTGTATTGCAGATACTTTTCTGACCATTCAGAACACCCTTGGTGTCCAGCACAAAGTCCCGTTCAATGTCAAAAGTACCTGTGGCAGAGACGGCTAGCTGGTCACCAAAGACTCACTTCTGGCCACTAATCTAGTCACATGTCCAAAAGCCCTTGGCAGCTGGGTGTGACCACGTGACCGAGTTGCAACCAATGGGATGCAAGCAGAAGTGGTGTCAGCCAGGTAAAGGCTATTCAGCAGTGGTCTGCCCTCTCCTCCTCTTTCTCCTTTCACCTGCTGGATGCAGATGACAAGGAAGCCTGAAGGGGCTAGGGACAGCTGGAAGGAGCCTGGTCCTTGAATCAGCATTTGGAGGAAAGACGTTTTCCAGCCAGGAATCGCCACTTGGACTGTCGAGGGAGGAGGGGGCGGGGAATCTCTGTGCCTGGGCATTGTACATTCTTCAAGGTCTGGCTGTGAGAGCACTCATCCAGTGCTCCCTCCAGCTGCAGGTGCTCCCAACCAGCCTGCACAGTTCCTCCAGGGGAGAGGGACACCGAGGCCGTGAGAGTCAAATAAGAGCAGTACCTTCCAGGTGAGTCACGAACAATTCAGCCTTCTGCCGGTCGTAGGCCAAGCAGTAGTGGAGTTTGGGGGCCTGGTTCCAGCTGGCCACCTTCTCTGGGTTCCAGGTCTCCATGACACAGACATCCTCCACCACACCTGTTAAGAGAGGCAGAACCATCGCTGCCACCCACTCTGGGTGGGGTCCTGCTTTCCTGATCACACCTGATCCATTTCTGCGCCACGAATCTAAACCCAAACCTTCCCAGCTGCATGCAAACTCATGGTGGCCACACCAAGGCAACACTTGTGGTCATCGGCTTTGCATCACAAAGGACCATCAGAGCCCTGTGGTCTTTAATATTGGACACGAGCTGTCTGACCTTGGACAAGTGACTTGACTTCTTTGAACCTCAGTTTCTCCATCCTGACAAAGGAGGTGATAACAGTCCCTCCTTCCTGGAGGAACTGTGAGCATTCAATGACAAAAAGCAGAGAAAGTTCTTAGCCTAGAGCCTCGCCCTAGGTGAGCTTTTGGTAAGGGAACGGTCTGGTGACCCTGTTTCAGGCAAACCCTCCCCAGCCATCCAGTTCCTCCTCTTCACAGAGCATAATCCCAAGAATTTAACTGCTGGAGATAAACACTGAAGGACAAGACAGGAGTCAATGCTGAGGCCAAGGCCAGAGTAGTGAACTCAACTTCACCACATACATGTTCAGTAAATATTTGCCAAGTGAATGAATGAACTTCTCTTTAAGTTCCTAAAACCCTCAGTGTTGCCCACTCTGCCCCTCCCTCCAACAGGCACCTAATATTTGGAAGAATCTCATTAGTTAAACATAACACAATAATCAAAAGACCCAGCGGCCACAGAAGATTCCACTTCAAGCAAACTGGAATTTCTGACTTTCAGAACTCACTGAGAGAGTAGAAATATTGAGGCCAATTTAATGCCCAAAATGGTTCCAGATGAGGTTCCTGCAAGCGGTGAAAACCTTCCCACGTGCATCCAAGAAAGGAGAGGGACCAGGGTGTGACCAGCAAAGTGACACACACACACACACACACACACACACACACACACACACACACACACGTGTGTATGCAGGACCCATGTAGCGTCCAAGGGCATCCAGCAAACAGTGGCAGTGGTGTTGGAAGGGGCTTACCCAGCACCCCAAGTATTCAGCTCTCAGACAGCCTCAGCCTAGTCATCGAAACCAGCCACCCCCTATCTGAGATCTCTTCTCATGAGTGGGGGCTCAGTCAGGGTGCATCACCAGCAAATCGACTTCACTACTGTCCATCTCCAGGAGGGACCAAGGAGGCAGCACTTGAAAATGTAAGAGCAGACCCAGCTTCAAGAAACAGGACTTTGAGCTCTACAGTGAGCGGGGTGTATTGTCACTGGCGGTGTGGACCACATCACATCAAGGAGGACAGTGGCTGTGCCATCTGGTGTTCTCCCTGACACGCCCCGTGCCTCTGGTCAATGTTTGCTGAACCAATCAGCCCTTGAGAGATTTCTGTGGGGTCAGCGCAAGACTGTTGGCTTCTGGGCGGGGAAGAGGAGGAAACATAAAAAGAGGAGACCTAATGAACGTGTCCCAAATTCTCCAAAGTTCCAGGCACTCATCTGCCCTCCCGCTCTCCTTTATGAAGTGTATCCAATCCTGGCTCCATCCAAGCTTTGGGAAATATGGAAAGGGGGTGATGATGATCCTTGCCACCCCCAAGAGTCCTCACCTCTGCCCCCTGTCCTTAGGTCTCAAGTCTTCAATGGGCCTATTTAAAGTCTATTTCCAGTATGGATGAGCAAGTCTGGAGGCTAGAAGCCAGCCAGGATCCGTTCATGCTATGGATGGCACTGCGTGGATTTGCTCTTGAAATGCAAGGCTAATCACTATGGTTCTGGCCCAGGGCAGGCAGGGGGTACTGTCCACTGGCCAGCATGGGGTCTGGTTGAACGCAGACCAGGAGGTGCCTTAGGGGTGGGTCAACATAAGGACATGCCAGGCTGCTTCTGTGTCTACCGGCTCCCTCGCCGACCTCACAAAGCAAAGCCCAGATGACACCACATTCCACCCTCCTGGCTTCATGCTTCCTTTTCTAAAAAGCCTCCATATTCTTTTGGGTCAGGGACTGTGCCTCTGCTTCAAATATCTGTCCCGGCTGGGCTCAGTGGCTCAGCCTATAATTCCAGCACTTTGGGAGGTCGAGGCAAGTGGATTGCCTGAGCCCGTGGGTTCAAGACCAGCCCCGGCAACTTGGCGAGATCTCGTCTCTATAATATACCAAAAATTAGCAGGGCATGGGAGCATGCACCTGTAGTTCCAGCTTTTTGGAAGCCTGAGGCAGAAGGATAGCCAGAGCCCAGCAGGTTGACACTGGGGTGGCTGTGAGTGTGCCACTGCACTCTAGCCTGGGCAAAAGAGTAAGACTATAACTCAAAAAAAAAAAAAAAAAAAAAACCTGTCCCTGTGTCCAGCACCAGTGCAGTACCTAAAGGTATTGCATGCTTTATTTTGGTGCTGATGGAAAGGAGAATAAAAACATAACAAGCTGGGAGAGGTGGCTCACGCCTGAGATCCCAGCACCCTGGGAGGCCGAGGCAGGAAGATGGCTTGAGCCCAGAAGTTTGAGATCAGCCTGGGCAACAGAGTAAGACCTTGTCTCTACAAAATAAAAATAAAAAAAATTAGGCAGGTGTGATAGTGTGCACCTGTATTCCCAGCTTCTTGAGAGGCTGAGGAGGAAGGATCGCCTGAGCCCAGGAAGTCAAGGCTGCCGTGAGCCATAATTATGCCACTGTACTCCACCCAAAGTGAGACACTGACTCAAAAAAAAAAAAAAAAAAAGAAAAGAAACAATGACACTATGTTTTGATGATGCCTTTTGTGCCAGGCCCCAAAATAAGCATTTTACAAACATCATTTTATCCACACTTTACAACCACCCTTTCAGATGGAGAGTCTGGTCCCATTTGATAGATGGGGAGACTGAGGCCCAAGGAGATCAGCTGCAGAACCAACCAGCACACAGCAAGTAGATCACGTGGCAGCCAATGAAGCCCATGACCCTGAAGCCCCTGGTTTTCACTTTGACTCTCCATCTCTTTTCACAGCCACACACGCGTGACTTGGAAGAGACACCCCATTCCCAGTGGGAAGCTGGGGACTGGGGCAACGTGTCAGCAGAAAGAAAGGACAGTCACTCCGAGGACCCGTACCGCCCTGCTTGCCCAGTGACAAATGCAATAGACACTGGGGCTCCCCCCTGGCCCTCCACCAGGCCACCCTCAGCACCCTCGGCGACTCCGGCCCACCCTGCCTGGGTGCCGCCCAGGGAAGGGCGTGGGGCGGGGCACCCCTACCGTTCTGCGGGAGGATGAACAGCTCCTCTGTGACCTGCCTCTTGAGGCGGCTGTCGCTCGGAGGCTGGGGGCTGGCAGGTGCAGCGGGCTCCTCTGTGGACCTCAGTGTGTAGTCCGCGTAGTTGATGACCTCCGGAGCTGTCACGGCAGGCCGGGGTCCGTAGATGTCTGGGAACTTGAGGAGGGTTCGGGGCTGGACAGGTTCCGTGGACTTCTGGACATTGAACTGCAAACACAAATTGCTTTGGTTAGGCTACAAGGGTCCCTCTTGCCCGTTTCCGCCCAGTGTCCGGCCATCCATGGGAGGTGAGGAGGGGCCCAGCTCCAAAAAGCACAGCCTGGGAAGGCCGGGCATGGTCTCCTGACCCAGCAGAGGTCACAGGCCACTAAGATGTGGGCCTGATCCTCCATCCTGAGGTCCGTCCATTGTGGCTGGACCACGGGCATTACCAGGGACTATGGTGGGTGGACCTTTCTCTGCCCCTTGCTCCTGCATTCTCTCCCTCTCTCCTTCCTCTTGCCCTAATGGCTAAAAAGGGCCAGTGGCTCTCCCCACAACCTGGACCCGGGCCCGGACTCCTTGCAGTGGCCTGTGAGAGTTTGCCCAGCACAGCCCTGCTGACCCTCCGACACTGCTTTAAGTCCTTCCTCTGTCCACCTCTAGCCACTGAGCTCCTGGCTGCTCAGACAGGCTGGGCTCTCTCCTTGGTGAGGCGTCCAACATCACCACCCCCACACACCCACCCAACCAACGCCTTCCCCAAACCACCCACCCCAACTCCCACCTGCTAGTTTCATGGCTGGCTCCATCTCATACCTGAAGTCTGACCCTCCTATCTAAATTAAGTCCTTCCCCCAAGGCTGCCCCTCCCTGTCACCACAGACTGCTCTTTGCTTCATGGCAATGATTTCACCCTGTATTGTCTTGGTTACAGGTTGGCCAGTTTGTGGCCAGTCTCTCCCATGAGCATGTAAGATCCATAAGCACCGGGATTATGTCTTGTCTTGCTCCTGCTGTGTTTCTTGTGTCAGTTTATGAGGAACATGCGAAACATGCCTGTGACAAGGGCTGCCATGTTCAGTTGTATGGCTTGTACACTGCACAAAGATGTCTGGACGAGGGCCTTGAGGGGGCCAAAATGCAGCCCCAGTGTACCACTTGCCCAGACATGTGCCCTAGGGTAGGGCTTAGTCCTTTGGGAAAAAAAGGGAATCTTTCTTTACACAAAGACCCCTCTGTTTGTCAAGCCCTAAGTCCTGGTTCACATGAAGGAGTAGTCTTCTGTGTTTGCTTCCATGAGGCACTAAGCTCCCCTACTTGAGGGATTCAAAGTTATATAGCAGGTAGCAATACTGGGGGGCTCCCTGGTCTCCAGGAAACTGGGGGTTAAGACCCAGATCTAGAGCGTGACAGCCTGGCACCCTGGATGGGTCCCAAACGGCCCTTGGGTTGAGGCAGGCACGAACCCATGGCCCCGTCTCCCAAAGAGCCTGCTGCCTGCCTCTCTGTGGCTGTGGTGGGGAATGAAGTGGCTGGCAGGGGCCGGGCTGCTCTGCCCAGTGGCAGGAGTGACCCAGGGCAGGGAAGCGTGCAGTGGGGGTGGGGTCGACTCAGGCTGGAGGGGGAAGGCGCCTGCCAGTTCACACGGCTTCAAAGTTTGTGTCTCTAACACTTGTGCCCTCTTTATTTGATTAGCCCAGGACAAACTGCAGGCAACAATCACAGCATCCTGGGCTTCCAGGCACTGCTGCTCCTGTCTGCTGTCAATTTCAAAGGGCTCCCAGAAGCCGCTGGGTCCCACCCACCCCTCACTGTCACTTGTTGTGGCCAGAACTGAGGTTGTCTGGGTGGTTTGGGGAACACTTTTGTGTTTATATTTGGTTTCATCTCAGTTCAATCTTCTGAGAGCATTTAATTTGTGGTCTGACTCAGTTTGGCTGTTTCCACATTTTCAGTGGGGAGACACACACACGGGCTCAGTTCCACATGGGGTTCACTCCATGTTGCCGCGAGTCTTTGCAGAGCCTGGTGCATCCTCCTTCCTCGGTGGGCCTCGATTTGGTACCCCAATAACCTCAGGAGCCTGCTGCAAGTGCCTAAAATGTCTCCCCAGAGCAATAGACTGGGGCTTTCCTGGTTTTCCACAAAGACCCCCTCCCACTCCCCGCAACTTCCCTACACCTCACCAGGTTGCCTCAGCCCTACGCCATTCCCAGCTCCCAGGGTGAGGTCTGCTGGGTCTGATCAGTTACTGGCATTGTCTTGGTGGCTGTTTCTGGCCCAGGGTTGGGATGGAAGGATGCCAGTCCAGATGGAATGGAAGGACTTGAATTCCACGGTACTAGGTAAAGTCCTCTTCCCCCTCAGATAGGAAGCATGTGGCCCTGCCTTGTGACTGCAAGCTGAGTCAGGCTTGGGACAGCATAACCGAGACAGAAAGAGCCTGTGACCTTAATGATCATGTTGTCAAGCTATGGAATCAACCAGCCCTGCAATCGGTCCCACCTCTGCACGCCACGCCCCACAGCAGTGCTGTCCTTACTGTCTAGGCTGGTTTGAATTAGGGTTATGTGCCTGGGAGCCAAGGGCACCCCACCCTGATCCTCTGCCTTTAACCAAGCATCACAGGAGACCACAACCCTAGTGCAGAGAAACCAGGCCCAGACTAGGACCCCGCCCCTCCCACATCTCTCTGTATCCACACCAAGGCAACCTCATCTGCTGTTCATCCTGGCTCTGCTTTGTCCTGTGTGGCCAATGTCTGCCCTTAGCTGGGAATGACAATGTCTGGGGACGCTGACACAACCATCTTCAAGAAGTGAAAGCAGTGGCTGATCACCTATCTTGTTCTCCTGTGCAATCGTATCTCTTTCACTCCAAAAGTCTGGTTCCACCACGTCTTTCAAATGCACCTCTGTTTCCAATTAAACACCCGAAACATCAGTGCCTGAGAAGTAGGAAAAAGGCTTGGGAGTTAAGGGAAGGAGCCTGGTCATGGGGGAAGAGCACGGCCATGGGTTGGGGGAGGCCCTCAGCAAGCAGGGCCCTCAAGAGACCTTGTTCCAGCCTCCACTGCAGTGGTAGCGGGAAGAACTGAGAATCAGGAACTCTCTGTCTACGTGTCCCTCGAGCCCTGGGAAGAGGACCTGGGAAAATATCTTTGCAGGATGACTCCGGGGAGGTTTCCACTGGGGACAGGCAGTCATCCATTAGGGAGGGGCGCCCAGCTGTGTTCAGCACTGCGTGTCCATCTTGACAGAAGACACACACCTCAGAAGACACACATGCACCAGACCCCTCTGACGTTCCTCCTTTTATTCTCCCAGCCTCGTCTGAATGTGGGATCTTTGGCCACTTGCTCCTCCCATGGGGCCCAACTCCAGATGGATTCCCACCAGCAGCATGTGGGCAGGGCACCACAGGGCCTCCCAATGTGCCCGTGCCATGCCCCTCTTGCCTCCTGCCCTGGGGCTTCACCATGACCGCTGAGGTATGAGCAGCAGGGCACTCTGCCCACCCAGGAGCTGCCCAGATGTGCGAGAATTTAAAACCGCATGGGGAAACCCAACAATAAAAACCCAAACAACTGGGTTCACAAATAGGAAAGGCTGGGCACAGTGGCTCGCACCTGTAATCCCAGCACTTTGGGAGGCCAAGGAGGGAGGATCGCTTGAGCCTGGGGGCTTGAGACCAGCCTGGTCAACACGGTGAGACCTCATCTCTACAAATAAACAAATTAGCTGGGTTTGGTGGCACACACCTATAGTCCCAGCTAGAAGGGATCACCTGAGCCCAAGAGGTGAAGGTTACGGTGAGCTGTGATTGTGCCATGACACTCCAGCCTGGGTAACACAGAGAGACCCTGGACTCAAAAAAAAAAAAAAAGAGGCTGGGCTTGGTGGCTCAGCCTGTAATCCCAGCGCTTTGGGAGACCGAGGTGAGTGGACTGCCTGAGCCCGCGGGTTCGAGACCCGCCCGGGCAACTTGGCAAGACCTCATCTCTACAATACATAAAAAATTAACCAGGCGTGGTAGCGCGCGCCTGTAGTTCCAGCTACTTGGAAGGCTGAGGCGGAAGGATCGCCGGAGGCCAGCAGGTCGAGGCTGCGGTGGCCAGGAGCATGCCACTGCACTCCAGTCTGGGTGATGGAGTGAGACTCCAACTCAAAAAAAAAAAAAAAAAAAAAGAGGGAGATTCCAACACATATTACCAGGGTGAACCTTGAGGACATTGTGCTAAATGAAATAAGCCAGTCACAAAAAGACAAAGACTGGCTGATTCCACTGCTGTAAGGCACTGAGATTTGTCAACATCAAGAGAAAAGGTATACTGGGGGTTCCCAGGAGCCAGGGGAGAGGAAACATCAGTTGTTGTGCCATGGAGTTTCAGGTTTACCACAAGGAGAGCGTTATGGAGATGGGAGGGCTCAGTGGCTCAGCCTGTCATTGTAGAGATGAGGTCTCACAAAGTTGCTCAGGCGGGTCTCGAACCCGTGGGTTCAGGCAATCCTTTAATTTGGGGTTTCATACTGGGACATCCCTCTTAAAAGTAGCATCACGCCACCCAGGAAACTGCAGGTGGAGGCACTGCGGATCAGGCTGGAAAAGGGGACATCTTTGTCCCTTAAACTTGAACTTTTAAGAAAAGAGCAGGCAGAGAGAAAAGAGTTGGTCACTGAGTATTCAGATGGTGCCCAACACGGGCTACTGCAATTGCTGAGGTCTGCAGTGTGGTGAAGCCCCCTCAGGGGAGAGAGGCCTGTGAGATTCCATCACTCTGGCCTCCAATACTGGTGAGGACTGCCTGAAACCATGGGTTCGAGACCAACCCCGGGCAACTTGGTGAGACCGCATCTCTACAATAAACCAAAAAATTAGCTGGGCATGGCAGTGCAGGCCTGTAGTTCTGGCTACTTGGAAGGCTGGGGCGGAAGGATGGCCGGATCCGCTGACATGTGGATAAGGGTTTGAGTTTGAAATCTAGCCCGCTGATCCAGGATTCAAGCTCTAAAATAAGACAGCTTGGTCAGAGTCCAGGCTTTGCCAATCACTTGCTGTGTGACTTTGGGTCTGATTAACTAACCTCTCTGGAGCCTGGTTTCTTCATGTATACAACAGGGATGCTAACAATAGCATTTTCTCCTAGGGTTGAATTGAAGATTAGACAAGATAAGGCTTATTGAGATCTTCATTGTGATAAGTCTAGAAATTGAGTAGAGGTA